AGTTTAAGAACCCATTGTGGCCCTCGAGTCAAAAAGTTTGCCCACCCCTGTTCTAACTTGTGGTAAGAACTTGCAGCCAAGTGCACTCAGCACACATAAACAATAAGTGTAAGGTCAATTCCAAGAGTGAGGATAAGACTGAGATGATCATATATTAAATTCAAAAACATAAAATGGTGATATTATTTTTGCACTCATTAAAAATGCATCAAGGTGCCTTCAGAATAAAAACTAACAATCAGTAACTTCTGTATTTCAAACAAAGATCTATATTCAATTTGCTGTTCTCAGTATGATCTTGTCTTTGAGATTAAGCATGAGCAGTTACATTTCTTAGTGATGAATCCAAGACAGCAATCCAGTTCCTTCCCCTAAATACCATCTAAGAAACTGGCTAGACTGAAAAATGGGTAAAAGCCTCTCTGGCCGCAGGGCTCTGCAACCCAGACCCAAGCATATTATTCTTGCTTTAGAGACTCCTCCTTAGCCATGTATGATCCATGCTCAGCCACCACGGAGTCATCGTGGTTGTCTTAGGAACGGCTTCTCCACCGGCATACTCCTTCACATGCATGCAGCCTCCTGGCTCTCGTGCATAAGCACGGCATGTGGAAGTGTCACCATAGACAAAGACCTGAACTGGTGAAGATGAGCTCAGCCTCCCTGGTACTGGGTTTTTTCGCTATAAAATGAGCAGGTTGAAGAAAGACGGGCAGTTCCCCAAATCAGCTACACTTCAGTATTACTTGAAAAGCTTCACAAAAATATAAATTCCTGGCCTTATCCTATATTATCATATAAATCACCTGACCACGGGGCACAGACATGTCTATTTTCTAGGAGCTTCAGACATAAACTTTGGATCTACATTTGGAAACCAGGAGACTAGATGAAGCTTCAAGTCTCTTTCATTTCAAAAAGAGTTCAAAAATACCAAAGAAATAAGCTATACTCTCCTAAATTCATACATCTTTATATATTTTATCATTGGCTTTTGCCAGATGCCATTCTATGTATAATACTGGTTGGTTTATGTATAGTATTTTATCTAACTAATTCTACCACCCTATGGGACTATGTTATTTCATTTGACAGGTCACAAAACCATGGCCAACTTAGCCAGATACATATGACTAAGATGGCTTAGCCAGATACGTATGACTAAAACGGTATGGCCAGTATTTAACCCTAGAACAGCCTTAGAAAATACAGGAATGAATTAGAGCAGTAGGAAATGAGGTCTCAGTTCTGTATGTGTAATGGCTTTGTTTCTGTTTTGTCAGGCTTTTTTGTTGTCGTTGTTGTTTTATTTTGTTTGAGAATAGGAAATAATATGCTAAAGTTAATTAATCCAGTATATTTCTCCCCAGTGGCACACCTATTATCTGCCCCTTAAACGAGATCCCCAGAACCTGTACTTGCCAAGGTCATTAAAATTACAAACATTTTAAAATTATTATCAAGGAGACAGAGAAAGCACCACTACAGAAAGAAAAAACAACACTGGGAAATATCAGACATTACAAAAGGAGATGAGCAACATTGAATATCCAAAGAAACTACCACAGAGATAACAAAAAGGGCAACGTTGAATATTTCATAGCGAACGGTAGCTATGGAATTGCCAACATCAACACTGAATTCCACCCATCCGTTTCCCTCGTCTGGCAAAACCTCCCCGAGGTCTTTAGGCGTTGCAACTTTGTTTCCCAGAGCTGTCCAGGAGTTATTGTCATTTGGATATTACTCTCATCATGTCAATATCATATTGGAAAGAAGAGATGTATACAAACAAACTCAGTTGGTCACTTTGAACAGAACACCAAAAAAACAACGACTTTATGGTGTGTCTATAATTTAAATATAAAAATATTTAAATCTTCAGAGCCATCTTTTTAAATTGAATTGTTGGTATTTATTAAAATGTGATTTACCACTGGGGGAAAAGGAGACATATGTAAAACTTTAGACAATTAAAAAAAATCTGATTTACCATATTTATCCCTTCAGATTTTCTGAATAACTTTAAGCCAATAATTTCACTTTTATGTAACTTACTTTCACAACACTGGCTAACAGAGGGACAGTGGGATCCATGAACAAAAGTGGAAACAGATTTTTAGCCAAAATTGAGTCACCTCTTATATTAAATGTATGGTTCTTTAAGTTATTTTGACACTTTTATGAGGACAGCATTTTTATGTTAGCTAAATATACCAATAAACATGGGTGCAAAAATCTCCTTCCACAAATATTAAAAATTTATTTTCTGATATTACTAAATGTTCACTAATATTAAATACAAGGAAGATTAAGTGTTGAATTATATAGCAAGGAGAACCTGGATTCTTGGTTCATCTGAAAAATACAGTAAAATATGTTTTCCCAAAATACTGTGGTTTTCTCAAAATAGTTTTGATAACTGAATTATGAGAAAAGCACCTCAGTGATCCTGCCTTCAGTCTTTTCCTGGTCGTCCGCCAATCTGTGTCTTTATTATTTGTCTGCTCAAAACAAATGCAACTCGGGTGGAAAATCCATCAGTGAGTCCAAACTTTCACAAAGACAAAAGTCCAAGTTTGTAATTTAGAAGTTCAGGTAATGCAGTATGCCTCTGTAAATGCCATTTTCTGTGTTTAGATTGTTCTATTACCTCATACCATGGCAGGAAAGGACTGTTCAAGCTCATATTGCCTTAAAGTTCAGATCATTATGATGTCAGCAACAAGAATGGGACGACTAGTACTCTATCAACAACCTGGAATAAAGGGAAATATTGTGCCTTGCAATGAAGAGCTGGAATGAGAGGGAGACAGAGCCAGTATGCTAACCCTAGACTCTTTATCTCTAGACGTTTATGTATGTGAGAAAAAATTTAAAATCTTTCTCATGTAAACCCCTGATAATCTGGGACATCTGTTACCTGCAACTGAATTTAATATTAGAATTTATACCTCAATTCCAAGTAATTGCACTGATTTACTCCTATTACCATTTTCTCATTTGCTTATTGCAATGTATGGCCTTGCAGTGCAATAATTTGTTTATATACCATTTTGTCTAATCTATGTGCTCAAAATATTATGAAAAGTTTAAATACATTTTAATAATTAATATTTTATTTACTTAGTGTTCCATTTATTTAAATGTATCATTTCATTCATTTAAGCATTTATTGAATGCGAAACACTACAATAAGTACAAAGAATGAAGAGATAAATATTACACAGCATACCTTTTTTATAATTGTCTAGCACAATCCCTTATAAAGGGTGCTAAGAAAGCTTTATTGCATAAATAAATCATATTCACACCTCAAAGAACTATGATGTTGGTTAGTGTAACTTATTTACATTATACCAGAGATTATTCAACTCAGTTGGTGGAACACTTTGAAAAGCATCTGTTACCTGAAACTGAACTTAATATAAAGATTCACTCCTCAAATCCAAATTATTGCATTGATTTTACTCTTATTGACATTTTCTCATTCAGTTATTATAATGTATCTCCTTGTGCTGAAATTAGTCAAATTAGAGTCCCCTTCACCCACAAAAACCAATTCAAAATTAGAGAATGAAAACAAGTGAGCCATTTGCAGTATTGTTCCAATCTGGTTAAAAATATTATGCAAATATCTGGTAAATGTAATTATAACTGCCATGATATGCTTTCAAAACAAGACAGTATAAAATATTTATATAAAGTTTAAATTGATATATTACCATTCTGACTTAAATTTTAATTTCAAGGAAAGAAGTCTTAAATGACAGTCTGATAAAAATGTTAAAAGTTATTACCAAACACTGCCAAGATGCAATTAAATAGTTAAGACAAAATTTTCCCCAATCTTTTCTATGGAGAAGTTTTACAAAATCCTCACCTTAGACTATGTCCCTTATCAACAACACTTTGCTACATTTTTCAAAATAGGTATAGCCCCATTCAACAAACTTAAACTGGTGCTCTAGCATAGGCTGGACACCTATGAGAAAGCAGTTTGAGTAAAAAAGATACTGGTGCGATTTGATGGGTCTCAGAAAGACTGCTTCTGAATATATCTGACTTAAAGATCAGCTAACAAAGTATTTTATGATTAAAATGTGAATTTAAAAGTACCACTATATAGAATCATGATTAAGTTGTTAATTAGTGGAATGCAAATTATGCAAATTTACAACCTTACAGTTAGGAATGAATACTTTTTATATTTAAATCTAGGTAAACTGCAGGTAAGAAGATATAACTAGTTTACTGAAGTAGGAATATTTTGAGCAGCTGCTTGCTCTTTTGAGCAAGAGCATGCTGGGAAACTGGATAAGAGAGTTTCATGAGCGAAAAAAGAACTCTTTCGATGAGGAAAAAGAAAAGAGAAAATGAGGGGAGGGGATGGGATGGGAGGAGAGGAAAGGAGAGGAAGGAGAGGAGGAGAGGGGAGGAAGGAGAGGAGAAAAAAAAAAGTCAGGCTACCCAGGAACAAAGATGCAAATTCACAGCTATGGTGGGGCTGGCATTAGTTTTCTCCTTTGCATTCTTTGCTCTTTAGAGAGCTATTTTTCATTTAGAAAACTTGATTAAATATTTTAGAATATTATTAATACTATACAC